AGCTGCTTTAGTGAAGGTGTTTGTTCCCAAATTGGTGATGTAATAAGCAGAAACAAAAAGAACGAACCCCGTGGAAAGATCAGGAGCACAAAAAGGCAATTCTTTTTGGTGATCTTTGCTGGATGCATTTCTGTATACATCTGTATACTAAGAAAGGGATATGTGGTGTCGGCAGATCCATCAAGAGCCTATTACACATTTTGTTCCTCATGAGATTTGTTTGCTTTGTCGGTGTTCTAGCAATTCCGGGGCAGCTACAAAATGAATCTCCGATACCTAAAGTGAGCCAACCATTGCAGTATTCGAGGGAAGTCAATCATTGTTTATTGCTTTTTGCAGGTACCTTGATGGTTGTTTTGGGCTCGTAACTTCCCAAGAGAATCCTTGGAACCAGCTTAACGCTTCCAGAAATTGCAGAGGCTTTGACAAAAGGCGTTGAATACTTATGGAGTTCGACAGAATGTTTTATTTTTATTTTTAAGAATCATTGAATAGACGACTGGTGTAACGTCTTCGCATCTTCTCGAGTCCAGCTCCGACCCTGGAAACGGGGCCGTCCAACCTCGGCGAGAAAGCGGGCGAAGGTCCCCCCCAGTTTTCCCGTGCCCGAAGGTGTGGGGGGTGTTGAGAGTTCAACCCCGCAGAGAGGCGAGGTGTCCGAGGCGACACCTCGCTGCCGCGTCAGGACTCGTGGCACAGGTTCCATGGTATGTCGTGGTTTCTGTCGGACAAGATGGAGAAGCCCAAGCAAAAGGTGTGTTGTTTGCATCATGCTTCCATACTGAAAAAAGGTAATGTTTTTGCAACAGAATCTGAGCACTTTTGGGAAAGGACAGTGGGATTTGTGCCAAGAGTCCTGAGGGCTTACTAGTCAAGTAAATCGATTCATTGCCTTTGGTCATTTTGTGTTTTACCGCTTGTTGCAAGTATTGCTTTTGATGGGGCATGAGCCCGGTCTGCAGGCTTTGAGGGATTCATTCTTGAGCAACCCAGTCGATCATGTCTTTACTGCGGTGCAAGTTTGTGCAAACGAAAAAGAGCCGCAGCCGCAGCCCACACGGATGGCTTCGTTTCTCAAATGTGTGAGCACTCGATGAGGCGTTTCATTGTAATATGCGCATGAATACGGGAGCCTTGGCGTCAGACACAGGGATCTACCCCCAGCAAGCACTCCATCAGACTCCGACCAGATTGTTACACTCCCCGAAGTCATCATGGGACACCACCTACCAGCATCCTGCCAGGTCTCCAGCATAGAGGGTTCGGGTCTCCCCAACAGGTCGAACCATTGGTGACCTGTTACACTGTTGGCCGTCGGATGCTGGTATATACCCAGGGTTCCAACCATATCCTCAGAAGGTGGTTAGACCCCAAAAACCCACCCCAACCACCTTCTCAGGAGGTGGGCCAGGAGCCCTAGGGATGTGTGATTATATTTGCAACGTTCGATGTTAATTATGGTCATCGGGGGCCATGCCATCCACGTAACCATGATGATTTTCAGGGAGTGTATTAATGTGTATGATGTAGATGGTTGAAGCGCTCATGCCAGTGTGGAGATCATGAACCAAGCATGCAGTCTTTCAAGTCTTGAAACTTTGGCTGTTGAGCATATACTTGTGTTTGGAATCTTGCAGCACCTGAAATGGATTGAGTTATCACGGTACACATGCAATGAAAGGAACATACATTGAGTTTTCCGAGACAACCACGAAGCTGATGGAAAGATAAGTCGAACCAATCTCAGATGTGTTGAACCAATCTCAGATGTGTTGAACCAATCTCAGATGTGTTGAACTTGTCTATACTTGTTTGATCTTGTCTGCATTCTACAATCAATTCTTGAAAAACAGCAAACACTCGGATTCCCTAAACACCAACTGTGATAGAGTACACACTGCGGCACACCTCAACACCCAGCGGACTCCCACTATCGGGTGTACTAGGGTTGGGTCAGGAGCCCCACTGCCTGGTTCCCCGGGGTGTGTGAGACTGACGGATTTTGCATATAGGACTCTGTATCCCCGCTCCTTGAGGCGGATTCTTCCACCTAATCGTAGGTGTTTCAATATTTGTGTTCATATGTCAGACAGAGAGTTTGGTGCATCATCAATAGGAATGGTTTGGACCCTTGCTTATAGTTGAGGTGTCGCAGGTCTAAGAAACCCGAAGGTTCATTCCAGATCCAATACATGAGGAACGAATCACTGCAGGTTCCAGGCCCATGGAGGAAGTGGGTGTCAGCGCAGCCCTTGCGCCGTTTGACAGGCTTTGAGTCCCAAGAAATGACTATTCCAGAGTCCAGAGCATGAAGACATCTTGGTTTTGATGGACGCCATGCAAGAACTGCCTTTTCCAAATCTTGCAAAGTTATAGGCTATAAAGAGATAGATTGACATGTCCCATACTCGACTACTCTAGAGAAATCACCACATAAAATCCCGCCACTGGGGAGTCAATCCATCCATGTCTCCCTGAAACCGCCTTCACCCGACCCGTTCTGCGACGAAACGCGAGCGATGAAACGGAGTGCCGACGAAGCGTTTGGAGGTCGGGCTGGGGGTTGGGTGGGTGGCTGGTCTGAGGTGGATGGAGGTCCATGTTGGGTTTAAAACAAAGGGGGCACGAGTCAATCATGTGTGCTCTTGGTCCCATTTAATGGTGATAAACCCTCTTCATGTTCTTTTTGGGGGGTCAGTCTCAACGCATGATTCAGGACTTGTTTCAGGGTCTTTGTTCGGTTGTGTTCTTTGTCTTTCGCATGTCACCGATCGACTATCCTACTGACTCACGGTCCCATCAGCTTGGCGGCCTGTCCTGTGCGAGCAGCTGGCATTGCTCAGCTTGTCCCGCACAGAAGTAATCGTGAAGTTGTGAATCAGAAACAAACCAAGTGACAGGACGCAGGAAAACCATGAGCAGAAGTGCCATGGGTCCCATTGTAGCTTGGGTTTGTGTTACATCAAAGATGGCTTCACACATCCTCAGAACATTACCAAGAAACAGTGTTATTGCCTTATTCTCGCCCCATCGCCCAAACACGTGATTGTCCCAATCTCATAGCAACTAACCCCCGAAGCATGAAGCTTTCTTTCGTAAGCATCCCTTGAGGCGCCTTTCAACCGACAGGCGCTGGGCGAGAAGCGGGAAAAGTTCAAGCGAGCCGATGCGTGCTTTGTCCACACGGTGCACACTTGTTACTGTAAATGGCACAAGAATAGCTTGTGAGCAATCAATTTAGTAAGTAGCCAAAACTCTTGACTCTCCTGTCTACATTGACATCCGAAGTCTCAACGAAGTCTTTTTGTCCAACTTTTCTCTATCAAATCCAAGCTGTTTTTGCGTGCCTCCTCACATCGTAGGTGTTTTATGATAAAGCATATTGACTATCACCCCCTCTTGTCATCCCATATATATACCAAGAAATTGTCTTCTTCGTCGTCACAACGACTCGCTCCCTTGTTCACTGGAAGGTTCGGCAGGTCACCGCAGAGTTTGGACAAGAAGCTGACATCAATGGTGTCCATGTTCGCAGTTGGATGCACAGTTGGATGCCCACGAGTGCAAAGCTCATTGTTTTTATCTCTTTTAGCAAGAAAGAGCCTTATAACTTATAACTTCTAATTTCTTATAACATTCCCAGGCACTCCATGTGTGATATTACCTACATTGCGGATCATTGGGGTATTCCATACATGTTTGGGATGAGCAAAATCAACATCCTGCAGGCAGTGTGACATTGAACATCATTGAACCGCCTATGATTTCCTTTGTCCGAGGAAAACAAACAAAAACACTGGGTATACTCTGTGGGTACTGAAAAAAAAAAAGGGTGATTGTCAGCATCACCATGTTTTCACAGTGAAACCCCGCTTGGCGTCCGGCCACCGGTTTCGGACGCCACCGCGACGGGACCGGACGCCGTGACGCGACCGGGACTCGTCCTGTCCGACCTGGCCGACCTCCACCTGTCGAATGGAGCCCGTTTCCAGAGGATGTTATAGAACCTTGGACCCGATTTTGGCCGGGGCACGGTCCAAGACTCCTTTCCAACAGGTTCTCATCATGTTCTATCTGGATCTATCCGGTTCTAGGTACAGGCTCCAATCTTGTAGCCTCAGAAGCGCTGCAGAACGCGCTTCTCGCCGCTGCGAACGGCCTTCAGGCGCCGCCTTGATGGACCCGAAGGCCTACTTCGCTCAATGGCAGCAGGCCTCACAAGCCCAAGCTGCTGCAGAAGAAGCTAAGAGTCTTGGCAGATGTTGGCCTAAACGCATGGGTCCAAAACGGGACCAATCCCTCTATATGACTGTGGGTGAACACCCCGAAAAACCCTGGTTGACCACCTGACCACCGAAAGTGTTTGGGATGTCAAGCCTGGGCTCCAGGTGACCCACAGCCATATCCAGACCACGTCTTGACCGGTTTGACAGGCACCAACCTCAACCCGGTCTTGGGATCGTTTGGTCAACGCCTTCCGGAATTGGATGGGTGTTTGCCACATATCATTTAGTGTATGATGAGGGGTTCAAACATGGTTCATCGAATTCTTATTTGAAGATGCCAGCGTACACAGAGCAGCTAAGAGAGAAAAAACGCTAGAAACCGCCTTGGCTTTTTGATGGCTTTCAGTGGAACCACGTCTTTGATATTGGTCAATGCTCGAAGGCGACCCTCACTTCGCAACCAGGACTTTGGACCGAACGTGAATTCGCTTCGAGACCAACGACCCGCCCAAGGGCCAATGAATTCGTGGAGAAGAGTGAGCTCCAGCAGCAGGCGGCCATGAACTCCTGGGGGTTCTTTCAGCGTTTGGGGCACCTACTTGCACAACTTACTGTATTTTGTTTTTTGGTTCCTTAGTTGTGAGGTTTCTAGAAGTTGAAGGAGTTTGTTCTATCATGTTCTATTTATTGTTCAATTATTTAGCTGAGTCACATGTTCAATCACAGAAGTTCTCTTTTGCTGTACTTTGATTGGTTGTTGTATGCTTGTATTTCCAGAAATCTTGGATCATCTACGTCAAGATTGGTTTGATGGATTTTTGTTGGAACACTGCCCTTCCGGCCTGTAGCTTTTTGGATTCCATCCCATGATCTTCAATCGTCACTACACGCGCATAGCGGCCATGGTGCTACACCAGTGAGCGCACGTGGCGGACGACCTTGATTATGGAAGAGCTCATGGTCGAGGCGGGCACAGCTTTTTGTCCATGCAACAATCCCAACAAATGAAACACCAAGGGACTGGGTGTCAATGTAACTAAGTTTTCCAGTCCCATCGAATACTTGGATACCCTGTAACTCCAAACACTGTCCCTCCAAGCGTAAAGATAGCGCTGTTGGCCCTAACTGTTTACTCTCCAGCATATTGTTGGTCTTCATTTTACCTTCTAATTAACTGCCCACTGCTCCCCCCCCCAAAAAACCTCCGGAACCTTTGGGGGTCCCGTTTCCTCGCGGCTCAGGCGGGCCCGGCGGGCACGTCCAAGGGCACGCTGCAACTGGTGCTGTGCGTGGTGAGCTCCGCAGTGGCAGGGATTGGCATCGGCCTCTTTGGATGTCTCCTCTCAGCCTCAGATCACCTCAGGCCACGATGACGACGATGGGACGACCGGGCCGTCCGACCGTCGGGTCCCGGTTGAGAGACGGTCGTGGTCCGGGGGGGGCGAGTAGATGCGAGGACATGAGTGGGAGCGGGGGGGAGGGGGTCAAGGGGGGGGGGGGGGGGGGGGGTGTCAAGGGGGGGGGGGGCGTGTGAGGTGTTCTTTGGGGGGGCAGAATGGATGATGGATGAGGGGTTATCAAGGAGATCCAAGAAACAGGGTTCGACACCTTACATGGACACATCTCCAGGGAGAATGGATGGGTTGTTGGGAGAATTCCAATGTTCATCGATCATCGGTTTCATCGATCCTGCGCAAATCTCGCCAGGGCTTTGACTGCCTGTGGCAGTAGAATTGAGCTACGAGCCAAACATGTTCAAACTGATGGTGATCAGTGGGGATTACAACATATTACAACCATCTATCATCTATAGTATGCGTACCTAGCACTTCCAATGGGTGTCCAATGGATGCCTGTAAGTAAGGTAGGGTAGTCTACCGGATGACCCAGGTACATGTAGTCTTTTGTCCAGTTTGTTTGGCGCTAGCTCGGATGGGAATTCTTCTGTGATCTAAATCCGATCCAAGTGGATCTTCCATGACCCGGATCCAACCAAACGGCCGCGATTGACCAAAACGTCCCCAACAGAACTGACGGGTGCGACTGACGAGTTCGTAGGGAATGACATGAATGGATCCAGGACGGATCTATTCTTGGGGGCTCCTGGCCTACCTCCGTTTCGGTTCGGTGGTTAGGGTGGGTGTGTTTGGGGGGTCGAATACCACCGAACCTGAGGATATGGGCCAGGAGCCCTAATTAGGTCCAACTACCTCCTGAGAAGGTGGTTAGGGTGGGTTTGGGGGGTCTAACCACCTTCTGAGGATATGGTTGGAGCCCTAGGGATTATTGGGGGCTCATTTCCGAAATTCCCTACGAAGCACGGTCAGAACATGCTATAACCTCGCACAGGGATCCCTGTCCAATGTTGGACCCGCCGGTCATGCTAAGCCTGCCCTTAACCATTGGCTGTGCCATTTTAACAAAGTTGAAGCTTTAGGTGGAAGCGGATGGCTGTGTTGGGCTGCATCCAATGTGTTTGAGTTAATTTGCAGAGAATTAGCAAGACTTTCAAGGACTTTACCTTCACATGATGGCAGGGCGCAGCAAGTTTTTCCTCATACACACATACCTTTTGCTGCCTGTTTGAACTCTTGAACGATTTGTTACTGGGCACTTGCTTCTACAAAGAATGGCGTTCTCCCACAAGAGGTCTTTCTCTACATCGCGTCAGCGTTTTCTATTTTTCTGTGCAATGAATCCGGGTCCAGTCTGACCCAAGTAAAACCTCGTCCTGGAGACCTCATGGTGCAAATAAGTATATATGCATCATCAACTCCACTTACATAAATATACTCCATTTAATAAATATATTACATGTAAAATGTACTTGATTGTTTTTTTTGACACTTGGCATGGCTCGCAGTGGAAAAACACCCGACCTGAGAAGCCACTGGGAAGTTCCTTCCCTTCCCAGGCGCCGCAACGCGGGTGTCCACACGGGCAAAAGCCGATGCTTCCAGGCTTCCGATGCTTCGGGTGGCGCCAGACGGTGGTGTTTAAACTCAGAAACTCTTTGAAGATCCGTTTCTTTCGTTTGATGTAAAACATCATGGGACGGTCATGATTGATCCTCTATGAAATGAGTATATATATATATAGCCGTTTTTTTTTCCAAGGACAAGCTGCCAGGACTTACCACCAGACAAGGGTGATCTTTGAACCAGGAAAATTTTCAGTTGGGTGGTTGATGCGTGTTTTGGTTTGTTTAATTTCATCGAGTGAGTGGATGAGCGTGGGTATGTAACTGCTTATAGTCATAATAGTTACTGCTACCAAGAGCACTTTTCAATCACCATTGATTCAGATCCAAGGGAGTTGTTCTTCTCCAGATTGTTCCATCAAAGAGCATCAAAGAGCACATTTTGTTTGGCGTTTGATGCATTTGTGCCCAGACGAACTCAATAGGTAGGTCGGACTGTGAATTAATTCCACCTGACAGGCTCCTACACCCCGATTTGCAGCGCAACATGGAGAGATTTCAGAACACCAAACATTCTCCAACCACAGGCTCTTGCCCCCATCGAGCACCGCGTACCTCTATAATTAAGATATATCTATTTATATTATATCTATCTATCTATCTATCTACCTATCTATCTATCTATCTATCTATCTATCTTCGCAACGACCACAGATCCGTCGCGACAGTTCGCAACAAGGAAACGAACACCACATGGTCGCTTCTCGTGAGTCGGTCGTCGCAAAAGACTTTTTTCTCTGCTCGCGCGGCGGAGAGGTCTTGGGAATCATTGGTTCCATCGTCTTTGGCTTGGCCTCCTTGGTGGGACTGATCTTTGGCTCGGTGAGTCTGGCTACGGTGGTGCGCGCCGGATCCACGCTGCCCTCCAACGTGACCCGGTGTATTAACGACGTCCCACGTCCGGTCGAGATGCAGCCACGGAGGAGAGCGGAGCAGAGCGGGGGAGAGAGCGGATTCGGTGGAGACGGAGTGAGAATTGATCAATGAAGACTGACGTCGATTGAGGTCGAAAAGAACGATGACTGATCATGTTACCCCGGGTATCCTCTGGTTTGGTAGCAACTCTTGGTCCGGCCTGGTGTAGCAGCGTCATGATTGGAAAAAGAAGATCGGTTCGCAGAACCTGATCATTTGATCATCCTTTTTCAGTTTCCTTGACTGATCGCTGCTTGGTGGGATCTTCATACCTTGAGACGAAAAGACTGGGCTCCGGAGTCCTTTTTCTTGGTCTTTGTGGGTCGTTCCAGCGATCCGCCCAGGCCGTCTTTAGTCAAATGCTGGGTTTGCGCCCGCTGGTGAGAGACGATGTCCTTGGACGCTTAGCAGGGCCTGGCAGGGAGGGACGAGACGATCGTTGGAGGAGAGAGCTGAGCTACTCCAACGACCATGACGAATCGTTGGCACCGTGTGAACAACAAAATATGCAATCGTTTATGTTCACCAGTGCTTTGGCTAGGTGCTGTTTAATGTTGTTTGAACCAGAAGAGTCCACTTACATTGTTGCCAGTCGACTCACCCATCACCAAGACAGAACGTCAAATTCTCAGTGGGTGGAATTTGAGTGGTTTCATGCGCATCCCATTTGGGATTTTTTTGGGGTATTCCACGGTTGGCACGTGAAGGTGGAACGCTGAGTATATCCACCAAGTCTCAACCATGGTTCAGTGCTAATTAATCACACCCTAGCACTCTAACTATCCTTTGAGAAGGTGGGACTGGTGCCAGGTGGTTGCATAGCTGACGAGCACGAGGGACTGGAGCACTATAGGGATATGGGAATCTCTCCCCAACTCCATGTGCAAAGCACTTATTTCCTTTTGGGCACGAGCATTTCGATAACACTTGTGATAATGCGTCATCCTCCACATTCATTACTCTAGTAGGATTTACCAAACACCGATCAAGCTGAGGCCTTTTCTGCACCTTTTCTGAAGCTTTTTACTTTCACTTCAAATCGCTCGTAGCACTTAATGACGCCAACTGGTCACCGGTCACAACTTTATTTCCTAAAAGGGCGGAGTTTCTCAGCATTTTCTGCACTTCCTAGGAACTTTGGTGACCATCAGTGGCATCGTGAGCTTTACGATTTTCCAGGGATGGGCTTTCTACCAGCACAGCCGCAGCGAGTACCTCATGCACATGGCCAGGAGAGCACGCGTTTTTGGTACCGATGTGCTGGTTTGTTTTGCACGGGGCGCCCTGCAAAGCGAGGGTTAAAGGGTGAAATGATCGAATGGACTAATGTAGCCAGAGATTGCAGGGTAAAGGTGCTACGTCACAAAGACATTGGTCGAAGGCAGGAAATGAGCTCCCAATGCAGTTGTTCGCATCTGAGAAGCTGAGTGGCTCCAGGTAGTTTGTTTATTCTTCCCATTAGCAAATATACTAAGATATAAGATATTATAAGATGTTCATAACGTGTTCAACAACAGATTTGTATGCCTTTGTCCTTTTGTTGGTGCCTTTTGGTGATGGGAAACTACATTGAACACCAAAAGCTCTCAACAGCTTATACATATGGTGGAACAAACACGTGCGGTCGTCCCGGTTGCCTTTTTTACTTCGGCACCCCATCTCTGGGCCATGTCCTGCCCATGTCTAGGCCCGCATCTTTGGTCTGGCAAGGCTTTTTGCTGATTGCTCAAGTGAGCTCTGTTTGCTGGCTTTGCCGCTAGGCAGAGATGTCGGTGAGATGAGCTAGACATGAGACTACTTTATAATAGCGTCTAAGAGCTCTCTACATGCTGCTGATGAACAGATTCGATCCTGCACCACTTCAATCAGATCATATCGCCGTATATCGCCGTCATTTTGGGTGTCAAGTGATGTAGGTTGGGGGGCCCCAGGAAAACTGTAACAGTCGGTACAAGGTCTATCACTAATTTTAGAGAGAGGCCTGCAACCCAAAACCATCATCATCCACGGTTAATTACAGGTAATTATATACCTTGCGCCTTGCGTTTGTCCTATTACCACAATTGGCACTATTTTTAACAAGGCCTTTACTAATCATCATCATCATCATCACCACCACCACCAGCATCATCATCATCATCATCATCATCATCATCATCATCATCATCATCA